GTACAGAGGTTGTAACTATAAATCAACACAAAAAAAGTCTTGTTGGTACCTTCTTAGTCGATAAATATTCCAATAAATGTTTCATTATTATTTATTCTTAAAGTTAAAAATTTTATAAGAGAAAACACTTAATAGATTTCATCCTTTCGTAAACACAATAAATTCACCAAAATTTTACTACATACAATATACTATAACAATACCCGTTTTGTTAACTCAGTTTAACTCAGATTACCAAGTCATGTCATTTATAATGCACCCCAAGCGATGCAGTAGTAAATAAATGTTTCAATGCGCACTTTAAAGCGTCTAGTAAACTAAAATATACGTTGTCAATAGTAAAAAGGGACAACCAGGGTATCCGTAAGCTGAAGACGCAATGGGCCGGCCATATAGCACGAAGTAATGACCACTGATGTGGAAGAAAGGATCTCGAGTGGCACCCTCGTACTGCTAAAGAGTAGCACGGATTTCCCAGGAGATAGAAATGTGATCTGGTAAGACATCTAGGAAGGCGATGAATGCAGTTAGCGCAGGATCGTGTTTTTTGGCATTTGGGGGAGGCCTTTGTTCAGCAAACTTGTAATAGGCTGCAAAGATGGCGACGATTATGCTATTTCAAGAACGTACTAGCTAATTTAAGGGTAGGTTAGATTTTCTGTAGATAAAGATAAAAGGTTGGGATCCTATCCGTATCGGTTCGTGAGAAGTAACCGTTCTTACCGTTACCGTTACAGCCGAATTAGAAATATTAGTTATTTACCAATCCAGTGCGTGCGTGCGTGCGTGCGTGCGGGCGTGCGTGCGTGCGTGCGTGCGTGCGTAAGTGCGTGCGTGCGTGCGTGCGTGCGTGCGTGCGTGCGTGCGTGCGTGCGTGCGTGTGTGTGTGTGTGTGTGTGTGTGTGTGTGTGTGTGTGTGTGTGTGTGTGTGTGTGTGTGTGTGTGTGTGTGTGTGTGTGTGTGTGTGTGTTTTTGTGTGTGTGTGTGCGTCCGTGCTGTGCGTGCGTGCGTGCTGTGCGTGCGTGCGTGCGTGGTGCGTGCGCGTGCCTGCGTGCGTGCGTGCGTGCGTGCATGCGTGCGTGCGTGGTGCGTGCGTGCGTGTGCGTGCGTGTGTGTGAACGTGATACAAATTTTAATTAAATAACGATATTTTAACATAAATAAATATATGTTATAAATATAGACATAATGTATGTAAACTATAGCGTATATTTATGTATCCAATTAATACCTGCTACAAAAACTTTCTTGTATTTATATTGTTAATGCTATTTGCTATTTAAATTTATAGGTTAGTTTATAATTTGACATATTCTTGCAAATTACCTTGGCAACTTCACATTTGAATGAAGGTTTACTAGAGTGAAAGATATCAATTTTATTAAATGTTTTATTATAAATTCTGTAAAGCCTATTGACAATCAAATTTTGAGCATATTTAGTTCTTTTAAGGGCAGTAGCAAAAAGTGTCGTATGTCTAGTTCCTTCATTTGGAACACAAAAACTTAAAATTTGTAACGGTAATTCACAACAGTCTATATAGTTATTACATATGCCGTGTAGGAAGGACATATCCATTAAGGTTCGTCTACTTTGAAGAGGCATGAAATTATAGCGGAGACTGGATTCCCTATCATCTGAAAAGTGACAAGAAAAACGATATGTAGGTGCTTTAAAAATTTTAACTGAATATTCTCTAGCTTTTGAATATTCGCCACATATTGAGAATTCCATATTATACTATTATACTCCAGAATACTTCTGACATATGCAAAGTATAGTTCTCGTAAACATCCAATGTCTGAAAAGGACTTACAGACTCGTAAAACAAAACCCAAATTTTTGTATGCTTTCGCGACTATTGTATCGATATGTTCGGAAAATGTTAATTTTGAATCCATTTTTACCCCTAGACCAAGTACACTATTCACCTCTGATAAAGTAAAATTATTTATTTTATAATTGTATTTAATTGGATTATTTTTTCTAGTGAATGATATAAAACAAAATTTCTTTAAATTAATACCAATACGATTTTCAATATAATAAGAGTTTAATCTATCTAGATCGGTTTGAAAGTTACTGCAATCAGTTATCCCATTAATTTTCATAAAGATTTTTGTATCATCAGCACAAATTAAAAATTTTGCATGCTTAAAGCATCCACGAACATCATATAAGTACAAGGCATATAACAAAGGTCCCAGGATGGACTCCTGCGGTACGCCAGATGGTACCTCCAAAAAATCGGAGCGTGAACTACCTACTACTATAGCTTGAGAACGATTGCGCAGATATGACTCGAACCATCTCAACAAATTACCGTGGATACCCAGTTCTGATAGTTTACGCAGAAGGATACTGTGGTCAACACGGTCAAATGCCTTCTCAAAATCCGTATATATTACATCTACTTGTGACCCACCATCCATACTATTCGATACATAGTCTACAAAAACTCCAAGGTTTGTAGTAGTTGACCGGCCTTTTATAAACCCATGTTGTTCAGAGAGAATCGAAGTGGCAATTATTAGATATATATGAGCATGGACTACTCTTTCAAAAAGTTTACTGAGTACGTTCAGGACCGAAATGGTACAGTAGTTCTCAATTGTTGATTTAAGACCTTTTTTATGAATTGGTACAATATGGGTTGTTTTCCAAATGCAAGGAAAGCAGCCTTCCTGAAAACATCGATTAAAATATGTGAGATAGGAAGAGATAGAGCATCTGCACAATTGGTAAAGAATATTGTTGGAATATTGCTCTACCCGCACTTTTCGATACGTCGATATTTTTAATTAGCTTTAATAATAATAATAATAATAATAATAAATTTTATTGCCTCTAAAACACACAGTTACATTCACGTTAAAAACAAAAGAACATTACAATTATTTGAGACAAAAGGAGACGGCTCAGCTTTGTCTGTAACGAGATACAGATCTCATACAGAGCTGTTTTTCAGCCGCTCCCTCCTCCCTGAGGTGTTGTGCGGGAGTCCAAAGTAGCAGGCTCCCAGGCAGGCAGGCTTTACCTGACTTATACTTTTAAGCTATGTACAAAGTAATTAAATATTATATCAATATAAAATATTTTTTTTAATTAAAAAAATATTATATAAATATTAAATCGCAAATACAAAAAAAGATTAAAAACATTAAAGACAAAATAAAAACATTTAAAAATATGCATAAAACAACCATTACGAAATGAACTAACAACAGATTCAAAAACAACACGAGAAATAGAAAATATAAAATAAACTTTCCTTTCTTTGAACTTATTTGAGTGTATGTGTGTTTGTGTGTGAGTGTGTGTGTATGTGTGTGTGTGTGTGTGTGTGTGTGTGTGTGTGTGTGTGTGTGTGTGTGTGTGTGTATCCTTATTAATTTTTGACAAAAAAGTCCCGTAAATGTAAAAACTTAACATAGGGATGTTTCAAATTCTCTGCAGCGAGTTGTCTTTTTTAACAGAGCCAATTTATACTTGGCTTTGAAGCAATCTATTGACATTTTTTTTTCTCATGGGTGGAGGGAGGTCATTCCAAATTCTCGCTGCAGTGAATTTGAAACAACTTCTATATCTTGCTGTTTTGTGTGCGGGTGTGTGGAGGAGCATTTGTGTGTGAGAACGAATACTTCAACAGGAAATATCTTTGATCCAAATGAGTTTTTCGAAAAGGTATTCTGGCTTTTTGTTCCAAATTACCTTTTGGACTATCGAAGCATAGTGTAATTCTCTCCTCGCGCCCATATTGAGTATGCCTTTTTCATTTAAGTATGGGGTTATAAATTGTCTTCTTGGTACATTACAACAGTATCGAACACATGCATTTTGTACTCTCTGTATTGCTCTTTCGGTATTAGCTGACAATTTAGGGCCAAAGACTGAGCTGCAGTAGCTCAATTGTGATAACACCAATGAGTCACACAAGAGAAAGCGTGGGTCCTCTTTAATATACGGTCTTATTTTATATAAAGTTTTAAGTTTAAAGTACGAATTTTTTATCTTGTTATTGATGTGTTCTACAAATTTCTGCTCTCCGTCTAGCATAAGCCCTAAATTACGAGCGGATCTTACTTGTGTCAAGGTTTCATCTTCTATTTTAATCGTTTCCTCGCTGTCTAAAATAGTTTTTATTTGGTTTTTTGTGCCCAAAACTAGTACTTGTGACCAGTAATAATATATATAAGAATAAGTAGACCAGGTTTGGATATTATGACGATCCTCATTTATTCTGTTTATTGCCTCTTTGGCATCCCTGGGTTCAAAAGAATAATACAGCTGGGTGTCGTCTGCGTATAAATGGTATTTACAATGTTTTATTTGCTTAGGTATGTCTGCTGTGTACAGAGAGAACAAAATAGGACTGAGTAAGGAGCCTTGGGGTACTCCTCTTACAATTTTCCGTAGAGTGGAGAATTTCTTGCCACCATTACATCCATCTGTTACCACAATTTGTTCTCTGTTGGATAGGAATGACTGAAACCATCTACATGCGTCTTTAGAAAAGCCATAGTGCTCTAATTTATTTAAGAGGATTTCAGGTTGTAGACAGTCAAATGCCCGCGTGTAATCCAACAACACCATAATACTGCTCAATCCCAAATCTGAGGCCTCTGTTAGATCGTCAGTGACATTTAAGAGGGCAGTTTCCGTGCCATGCCCTTTTCTGAACCCTGATTGAAACTTTGGTAGGGGGTTATTCGTTTCAAAGTAATTTAGCATTTGAAAAAGTATAATCTTTTCTAAGACTTTAGACAACACCGGGAGGATCGAGATAGGGCGCAGATCTTTTAGTTGACTTGCTGTGTTCTTTTTAGGAATGGGCTTGACTAGAGCTCTTTTCCATTGCGTTGGGAATGTACTAGTTTCGATCGACTTGTTTACTATAAATGTAATAATAGGGAGAGTTACAGGTAAAGTTAATTTGAGCATTTCAATATTTAAGTTATCGTGCCCTGCGGCTTTTGTTTTTATTTTATTGATAATCTTACTGATTTCTATTTCATTTGTCGGGTTTAGGTCGAATAGGGTATCGTGTGAGCATTCGTTACATACTTTATAACCTTGTTTGAGTTCTGGTTTGTCACATGGCGGCAAGTCTAGAAAATAGTCATTAATAATATTCGGGTATTGAGATGGTAAAAAGTAAAGTAAAGTTACAGCCTATATACGTCCCCTGCTGGGCCCAGGCCTCCCCTCATTTCTGAGAGGGTTTAGGGCAAGGAAGTGTCCGCCGCGCTGCCCAAATGCGTGTTGACGAACTTCACATGTCTTCGAAATATTTTTTTTTCTTATTCCTCAGACATGCAGGTTTCCTCACGATGTTTTCCTTCACCGCCGAGCACGTGGTAAATCAGCACTTAAAATTGCAATTAACAATTTCATTGGTGCCGGCGGGGATCGAACCCGGGTTACTCGCGTTCTGTTATATTTACAGCGAGCGTTAACCACTGAGCTACCACGGCATTGAGATGGTGTGGAATTGTATTTAAATGAGTAGTTTTAATTTGTGCAGCATTTTTTATATTACGCCACAGTGACCTCGGATCTTTTAAGTTGTTGTTTATATAATGGTTAAAGTAAGCTTTTTTTTCGCGTTTACGGGTTGCTGTGACTAAATTTTTAAGGGTTCGGTAGTATTCATTTGAACAATCTTTTTTATCCTTCTGGGCTTTTTCTAACGCATCGTCACGTAAACTCATCATGAATAGCAACATATCTGTAATCCATGGCTTTGGTTTGTCCCTTATCGTCAGCGTACGGGCAGGTGCATGAGCATCAAATAATTGACTCATATATGCGTTGAAAGTTTGAACCATTTCGTCTACGTTCTCTAGATTATAGATAGAGTCCCAGGGTATAAATGTCAGATCTCTTGCGAAAGCTTCGGAATTAATATTTCTTAGTAATCTCTGTTGTTTCACTTGTTTATAAAATTTTAGTTTTCTTATGTCCAAATCTAACAGCACCAATGCATGATCACTAAGACAACGATTGTGTATAAGTTTAATATTTTTGCATCTTGAGGGAGTGTTAGTCATGACGAGATCTAAAATAGTTTCAGTCTGATCAGTGACTCTCGTTGGTTCTTTGACGAGTTGTTCAAGGTTATGTTGATAGCAGAATTGCATTATATCTTTTGCTCTATTGCAATGTTTGTTAATCATATCTACGTTAAAATCGCCAAGTATGCAAGTGTAATCGCATTGTGCCATTGAATTCAGGGAGTCACTCAGAGCGTCCAGTGTTTCTGTAACACCCACACTGTTAGGTCTGTAGGCCGTGCCAAGGGCCATTGAAGCTCCCGGGAGTTGAATTTCTAGCCACATCTGCTTTAGAGACGCCGCTGGGTGTTGCCGTACTTTAGTATTTATTCCCTGCTTAATATAGAAGCCTACACCTCCTCCCTTTTTTTTGTTGCCTACCTCTATGCACAAACTTATAATTTGGTATTATAGGCGCAAATTCATCTTCTCCATCTTTTAACCACGTTTCATTTATAGTTAATATATCAGTAGTTTGATTACGGACAGCCACAAGAAATTCATCCTGCCCGGTATTCAGAGATCTGGCGTTTAATAGACCTATTCTTAGATATTTATTTTTAATACTAACCATTTAGGATATAATAACTTGATATGATAATAATAAATATTTAAAGTAATATAAAACTTGTGATGAATAAGTGGGTTGTGTACGGTGTGTCAGAAAGTGTGATTGAGGTGCTAGTTGTTTGTGTAGAAATAGTCTCAATTACAGACTTCAGGAAGTAAATTTAAAAGAAACGATTAAATACATTCCTTGCACGATACCAAAACACATACCAAAACACATAAAAAACAGTTGGTGTGTATGGGATGGAAAGATATCAGCTGTCATTATACTTAAAAACCTTTGATAAGTCCATTTCATTTCTAATTCGAATCCGCGGTTTCCTTGTTCCTTGCGCACAAATATCTTTCCCTCCCGTACCCATACATATTTGAATTGTACTTCGCGGGCAAGGGAGCGTGCTTTTTGAAGAAGTTGACGCTTAAATCTTGTCAAGCGTTCATTAAGATATAACAGTTTGGTGGGTCCAGGTAATTCGAGGCCATCGCTGTTGAGATTACGTCTGGAGCGCGCAGCTTGAAGCAGGCCGTTCCGTGTATCACGGCGTGCAAGGCGCACGGCTATAGGTCTTGGGCGCGGTGTTGTGCTGTCCTGTTTCGCTGGACGAAGTGGGCCCACGCGTTCTGCTGATACGACGTCTTTATCGTCCAACTCCATACCAATTTTCTTAGCAACCGTCAGAATAATGTGGGTGCAGTTTTCATTGGGTGTTTCTGGACAGCCAGCTATTTCTAGGTCGTTAGAGAGTAAGGTTTGGTCTCTTTCCGCAATATCAGCCTGCAACTGCATTACGATGCCCTCAATTGGATGGGTTTGGGCAGGCTTGGTTTCCGACTTACTCTCCAATATCGAAACTCTAGCCTCCAGTTGCTCAATCAGGCTGTTTTTGTCTTTGATGGAATTTGTAAGACTACCGATAGCTTTTTGTACTCTGTCCATTTCATCGTGCAATAAATTTTTCATGTAGATTTTTAAATCATTCAGAATATCCGCGTAAGAGTTGATGGTGATGTTCTCAACGCCTTGTACTGGGTTGCTCGTCTCACTGAGTGGGGGTGGATTTAACACCTTGGATCGCACCGTTACATTAGGATTGCCACTCTTGAGGACATGCGACACGGTGGATGAATCCGTACGTAAGGTTGTTCCTCCCTCTATGGTTGCTGTGGTGCCTCGTACAGGCGTGTTAGAATTTCCTCTTTTTGGTAGTTTGCTTAGACATTCCGGGCATTTCCAATGTTCTTTTTTTCGCTCCATTTGACGAAAGTTCTTTGGGCTGATGTTTGCACAATCCAGATCGTATTTCCCCTTGCATTGCATACATTGTAGAGAGTCTTTATTCGTTATAGAATTTTTGCAGCCGGCACAATTTTGAGAGTTTGACATTTTAACAGTTTTTATTTATCCTTTATTGAACTATAATTCTGCTCTTTATACAGTTCGTATTAATTGTTTCCTTCAAATTCCCTCCCAGAATCTTAGGAAAATTTTATTGAAATTTCATTACGAAAAAATAAGAATAAAAAACAAAAATACAATCCAGATAATACAAAAAAAAAATAAACTTCACTGAGATTTGAAACCTAGATCGACGGAGTTCAGTCCACACAGTTGCACACTAGGCTACGGAAGCTTACAAGTTATGAGTGAAAAATGTGATTGCTTGCTTCTAAGTCCGTAATTCCTCACTAGTTAGCAACAAGAACATGAGTCATCAGCGCTCGTAGCCAATCGCTCGACACTCGATTCACTTTAACTAACGGACACTTGATTTTTATTTAAATTTGTAAGCGAAAGCACACATTTGATTTACACATTTGATTTAGCACTTTTCGTTGTGTTTTTTCACCGTCAGTTTATGGGAGTGAACTTTAACTTTGTATTAACACTAATTTTAATAAGAAAAACGCCATACGAACTATTAAATTGGATTTTTGTTTAGAGAGACACAGACTGTACGTGTTAACAGATCCGCGGTAGGCGGGGGAGCCTTAAAATATACTGTTTATTAATTTTAATGTCATGAATAGCAGCAATTTGCAATGGACTATTATGGGTATCTTGTAAATATAGATCAGACGGTTTATTAAAATTTCTCTCAAAAAACTTATTAAAAGCGGAACAAATGTGAAAACTGTTAGTTACTAATAACTAAATTATTGTACGTCATCTGTTGACGATAATTACAAATATTTTTTCTCTTAGTTTTTACATAGGACCAGAAGTATTTGGGGTTATTTATAATTTTTTGTTGTGAAGATTTTATATAGGAATTATAACAGTCTGACTGCATTTTTTTTTGTCTACTTCTTAAGTCTGAAAATTGAGCATAGTCGTTTAGGTTTTTGTATTTTTTCCAGTCTTGTGAACTTTAAACTTTTATTTAATTAAATTTCATGTTAAAAACAAGTGTTAAAATAATATAAGTATATAATAATACAGTGCTTTCATGGAAAATCTATAGAAAGCACGTAACCAATTTTTCATGGTTATCACAGACATAACAGTCACTACTAAATAACGTATATTCTCCTAAGAAAATACGGCACATTCGTCATGAATCCTTTTCTTTTCATCCTAAGCCCTTATCGTTGAGTCTAATAGTGGAATGGATCACGTATACGGAAAGTAATCTACCTGAATGTAAAATAAGGGTTGGGGCCCAAGTGTTTTTTTTTTAATTTTTAACTGCTGTACAATATAGGTATTTGATTATTATTAAACTATTATAATTATAATTGTTTCTTATACCGGGTATCTATGACTAACGCCGTATTGTTCTTATGTCAGCTAACACCAACACTTGTGCAAATATGCAATACTTGGTTTTCGGCTCTGCAATCTTGTGACTAAGTACTAGCGTTTTAACGGATACATATTATAGATTCGGAGGAAAGAGTACCCTTTTTATGGAAATTTTTGACCCTATTATATATATAATAATAAATATATGTTTTAGAGTTCTATTTAAGTGTTTCCGCCACAGAAATCTAAATATTGCCTTATTATTTAGATTTCTGTGGATTCCACATTTTGCTCAATCTTGAAAGAATTTTTCTCTAATATTATTATTGCCATTGCTCCAAAACAAATACGGCTAAGCTTCCGTCGGCTTTAAAAATGTCTAAGCTATATTAGATCATTTGCGGCAATCGTTAAAATAAACAGCCTGGCCAATCGTTGCCTCACCAACTTAGAGTTGGGAATAGAACAGTAGAACACAAATCGGTAAAGCTAGAGACCCTTTCTCGTCCACTACCATAGACTTACACTTTTTTCGAAACTTATATTGCCTTTTGATATACTAAACTTTCAATTTCTAAGAAGTAGTAAAGAACATTAGAGTTAATAGGGTTCATCAATTCTCGTAAAGTGTAGCAGGTATCAATCAATAAGCTGTCAATAAAATAGCAAAAATTTCTTGATAACTCAGTATTTTAGTATTTTGATTGTATAATTAAAGTTTTTACTAATATGAGGTCCTTTGAGATGAAAGGTATGAGCCACTTTGGTTGACATAGTAGAACAAGGAAGTGGGCGGAGCCCGTGTAGCCACTAAAATGTCAATAATAGGTCTATTCACACGTATAAATGTCAACACGAGATGTGTTTTGACGTTACAGTCTTTCCAAATTTCGCATGCAAATTATTTAATTTTTATTTCTAAATATTTATTTATAATTTCTAAATAGAAAATGCCAGATTTCACGCTATTTACAAATAAATATGTATTAAAATCTGTCTGTCGATACAGCGAATCGGGTTTGTAGCACTGATAATATGACGTTATTGCTTGTATGTGGGCTCCCGGCGACGCCTGTCCTCGTATAAAATAAGTTTGATAGTCATTCTATTATGTATTAGTATTCTATGATATTTGTGCATACGCACTACAAAGGGCTCAAGCCCTCTTATACTAGTTCACTAGTTATTTTGCTGTGGTCTACGGTCCAGATCCCAACTTAACGTCCCCTACGTCGGAGGATCGCGTTGGTTATTTGACTCTTACTGCCCACGGCGTAAGCAGTAAGCGTCAAACCGGCGGCGTAAAAAAATGTGAGGGAGCCGTGTGCCTCACTCACATTTTTTTAAATGTGGGAGAGTGAAGCCCTTGTATCGGTTACTTTTATATAAATACTGTGACCTTTTCTCTATTAGTAAGAGATTAATCAATAAGAAATTGATTGACGTAAACCTGGTGCAAGTGAAATAGGGACGATTTTTAAATGTTCTTAACTTAAAATAATATAAGGCACTACCAACGGCTTTCAATTGCTCTAGTGAATATCCATTCTTCTAAAAAAGATACCTAAAAAACTAAGGTAGCCCGTTCACCAAGCGGTGCGCACTTTAGATCGTACAATACCTACCTTACGTCCGCTCCAGAGGAGCACTAATTAGATCAGAATTGTGTAAAATTGTGTACCTATGAAAAAACTATTTTTTCGTTTTAAACAAAACCAAAGACACTATGCAATAGATAATAGTATCAAAGAAAAAGATATGTTCTTTTATTTTAAACCATAACCTGGCAGTTTCTTAGAAAAAAAAAAAGAAATCACTCTGAACTTTCGGTGTTCCACGTGTCGCTTTGATGAAGGTGCTCCGTCTTTTTTTATAGAATTTTATATTTGTGTCTGGACTAAAAACGAAAGTATTATACTTTTTTATATTCCTTGTAATATAGTAAACACGTGATATATAATTTGTGGTAGAAAAAGTGAAAAGTAAATTGCCAAAAGTACTTCAAAATCCGGAAGGCCCATTTTGGCGGTTGGGTCATAAATGTGTTATTTTTCAAATTCTCATTTATTTTTAGTGTAAAATGTAAGTAAAAATAGTTTTCTTACATATTTCAAATAACTTGACGTTGTATTTATTTCAAATTCACACAAAACTATTTTTGAAATATTGTTCGAAATATCATACAGATAAAATAATATTTTTTTTTTAATTTTTTAATATTTTAATATTTTGGTGTGAGTCACGAATAGAAACACATAAAACATAAAAATATACATATTTCCAAACATTTTCATATAAATTTCTCCAAAAACAAAAGTGTAGAATTCAAATTAGTAGTAATTTTGTCACTAAAATTGAAGTATATACTACTACTATGCTATACAGGGTAATTTATGTATTTTATTACAATTTCTAGCAACCAAAAATAATTTTATTCGATAGTTTATACATTGAACAAGAAATTCTGTAAGTTTTATCCATAAATATTGTCTCAAAGTGAAAATATAGCAAAATTTTATTGCAAAAAATTTTCTAACTTACAAATTTTCCCGCCATTAAGGTCCCAGGCGAACGGGTTAGTAAATTATGTAACATTCATTGCCGTACCAATATTTCTCGGGAAAACTTCACCGAGCATCGGAACAAACTTCTGTCTGAAGTCGCGACTTTGTTATAAAACGTATCGGACCGGGGGCAACTAAATCTAATCCAGTTCAATCCTCAGATTACACAAGTTTGCACGTTAACCGCTAAAAAGTACCCATTTTTCATATCTCCTCAGTTTCAAGGCACAGGTTACCATTGGAACCCTTGGCGTTGACATATCGAATAGCCAAATTGGTTTTTAAAAAGCTTGGTGTGCTCAGCAGTGCGGGACAGTATTTCCAGCGCGCACACCTCTTACAACTTTACAAGGCTGCTGAGGAAGTTCGGCCACACATGAAATACTGTTCTCATCTCTGAGCTGTGGCAACCCAGTCCCAGCTCCTTTCACTTGATCAAATCTCTTGTCAACGACCAAGTTCTCTCTGATTGGCTTGATTCACTGGTGCTGCGATTGCAGATATTGCATGCCTTTGCATTTCATATCGCATCTATCATGAGAAGTGCTCTTAGGAATAGAAATTCGAATTAACCTGTACGCTCTGACAGCGCGCGACATGTTTTAATTCCAGCAGCTAAACTTCACGAACACACATCGCATCATTACTCAAGATACCATCTACATCATCTGAATGCTTGGCGACTGTCTGTGAGTTTTCGTCTTATTACAACCTCTCCTGTGGACCTGTGGAATGGTTTACCAGCGGCAATTTCCGTACCGATAAGACTAGACCTTTAAGAAAAGAGCTTACTCCTTTCTAAAAGGCCGGCAACGTGCCTCCAATTCCCCTGGTGTTAGAGTTGTGCATGTTCGACGGTAGTCACTTACCATGAGATGAGCCGCATGCTCGTTTGCCTCCTCTTCTATAAAAAAGTACATAACGAGGTCTGCACGAGAATTTTGACAGTCTGTTGGTGTAATATACAAAAATACAAATATGTCATCTTTTCGTTGCACGTGTTTAAAACAGTGTTTTTGGCTGGCATTTGCAGAGTAAGCAAACCTGAGTATTTGCTATGTGCGACCGAGATTTAAT